TATGTCGTAGTAACATAGACACCAGGATTCGATCCATTAACCACCAGCTATTGTACTGAGCCCTACTACAGTACAGCAAAATAATCGGTGTTACACGTATCAGTGAGGTTTTCCTTTAATAGGCTGTCAATCCGTCGCTTGTAAGAGACTTTGGATTATCTTCTTTAGGAAAGCAGTTGACACACGTTGATGCAACTTGAAATATCGTTTAAGTCTATCTACTTCAATTTTACTTTCAATAATATCAATAATCTGTGTTGACCGCTTGTCGTAGCTGCACACGAATAATTTAATTCCTTACATTCTCAAGAGGTATATTACATTTACCTACATCTCTTGAAAGACTATTGAACATGTTTGTAGTATGTCTCGTGCAATCATATATAATTAAAACAGATAAGTACTTGCATCTGTAACATTGAATTCAAAATATTTTCAATTTATCTATGATACAAGTCTAATTTTACTATCAAGTTGTATTCTAACATTATTATTGAATAATATTCCTTTCACTTCATGCAGCCCACTCCAATGTAGATCTCTTTTTCCTTTTCTAGGTTCTAGAATTGCAAATACTCTATTCCGAGATTTGAAATTTCGCCCTTTTCTTTTTAGTACAATATTCTTCAGATCTCTGTTAAGCTGGCCGTAAATTTTCTCCGGCTATTCTTCGACATTCTTTAATGCGTTTACTTATTTTCAATGCATAATTAGCATTAGTTTTATTAGGTTCATTAGGGTGATAGGTGAAGGGTAAACTTGCTAGTTTAATAAAGACTAATCGATGAAACTTTTGCTAAATGCAGATATGATTTTGTTGAAATTTCAATTTCTCAAGCTAACTAAACTGACAAGAAAGGTGTACCGATGTGTTACCTCCAATCATTCTGTTGCTGATACATTTTATTCTACGTCAAATTTCAACAGACACCTATTTTTTATTTGCCAACGGCCCTTTTTTTGAGGGTGAAATAGTCCCGCAAACATAAACGTAACCACCTTCTAAAGTAGTTCCGGAGTTTTACGTTTTTGTAGACAATATTTTTCTAAAAGACCAAATAGATATGTATTTACATAAAAAGTGATAGAAAATGCATGTTGGTACACATTCAATAGATATAATTAATCAAAATTTACCATGCTTGAAAAAAATAAAATTTAATTCAAAAATATCTATTGTTCACATTTCAGAAAGATCCATTGCAATCAAAAGAGTAGGAAAAAATATTGAATACGTGATTTTATATTCTATAAAAAATACTGTAAAATACCAGTGCTCTGCGACCAACGTCCACATGACCAACTTTCTAGTGGAAAAAATAAAAAAACACCTCGAATTGAACCCGTTTCCACTCTTCATAACAAATTGTTATAATTGTTATAAACGAAATAAGTGTGTTTTTATCCATTTGATATGGTTAGTTACGTCATTTCAGTAAAAGAAAAAATTGAGCGTTGGAAGAATTCAAATATACCTCATAGATCCTTTTTTTTATATTATTTACAACAAATTTAATCGTTTTAAACAAAAAGAGTGAGTTTTCATTTATGTCATACGGTTGGTAACATTTTTTTAGTAAAAGGAAAAATTATGCGTTAAAAGTACTCATATATATAGAAAGGGTCCCTATTTTTATTGTTTATAACAATTTAAAACTTATTATTTAAATATTACTATGATCAATAATCACTTATTAGTAACAATGTTCAATTGTAATGAACACAATTCCATATTATTGACAATTATTATTGACTATTGTAGCGTCTTGAATGCTGTTTTCTCAATCCTGACACGAATTTTAAAATTTTTTATTGGTGATTCCGGTTTTAAAAAAAAAATTTTTCTATGAAAAATCGTTATCATTTTCCTATACAATTATTACAAACATTTAATATTCATATTCTCTAAAAATTGATATAATTTATAAATTTCAAAATTCAGGTAGTTCACCATTTTTTCCAGTTTTTTGATTCTGCATAAGAAACTACTGGACTGATTTCGCTGAAAACCTAATAAGTTCTAAGTTACGCAATTACGTGTCGAATGCAGTTGTTCCACATCGATATCATTTTTTGTTCTCGAGATAATCGAGGCGAAAAATAATTCCGAGCGCACATACACACACACAGACATCCACTGAAAAACGGTCGTATTCGACTCTGGGGACCTTAAAACGTGGATATATGTCAAAATTCGGGATTCGCAAAATCGGACCCATTACTATAACTTCCCATTGGAAAGTTAAATATAAGGTAAGGATAACTTATATTTAAAACGAAATTACAATAAAATGATAGATTCAAATACAGAATCAAAGATATAACGTCTAAAGTCAGCTAATCTCATTTGTGAACTAAAATAAAGAAACCAGACGGACGTTGCTAACAAGAAATTCTGTCGTCTGTCAATTCAGCTATAGATGGACACACATATATTTTACAATACATACATGGTCAATATGCAAATTATCTATAAATAAGAGAAAAATATTCTCCAATATTCATACATATACATACAAAATCAAATATGATTTCTATAAACTACATAAATTTTTCATACACGTATTTCTATATTCCATTTATTTTACTTTTGAATTTTCATCGATATTTACTAACATTCGATAACGTTATCAATTTTAAATCAAATTGTACGTGTAAAGCGATGAAAACCACTGTACCGATCATATCATCACTGATAAGAGATTATCAGACTCTGTACACATGAAAAATCACCGAGCAATCTTGATGTAATCTTCTTGTTAATTATACGGTTATTCTATCCATTATTTTTAACTTCCCAGTGGGAAGTTATAGTAATGGGTCCGATTTTGCGAATCCCGAATTTTGACATATATCCACGTTTTAAGGTCTCCAGAGTCGAATACGACCGTTTTTCAGTGGATGTCTGTGTGTGTGTATGTGCGCTCGGAATTATTTTTCGCCTCGATTATCTCGAGAACAAAAAATGATATCGATGTGGAACAACTGCATTCGACACGTAATTGCGTAACTTAGAACTTATTAGGTTTTCAGCAAAATCGGTTCAGCTATTTTTTTTGCAGAACCAAAAAACTAGCAAAAATGTAAAATGACCTGAATTTCTCAATTTATCAATTATACCATTTTCTAGACAAAATTTCGAAATCTTCAAAAAAATATGAATATTAAATGATTAGAATATTTGTAGGAAAATGTGGTGACAATATTTCATCGAAAAAAAAATTTTAAAAGACAAAATCAGCAATGAAAGAATTTTGAAGAAACCACCGGTGACTTAGACTGAGTACCGACTCTACCTGTAGACTACAAATTTTTTATGGTGGCTCCTCGTCACTGACGAGAGATATAGTTAAAACTGCCCGCGTACTTAGCATCGCGAGAATTATATGATGTCAGTCCTATTACCATCATCTTGAGAGAAACTCTCTGTATAACTTCTTCTTACTAACAAATACCCATTATATTATCATTATACAATAATAGTAATTTCCTCCATGAATTTCCTGGTCGTCTTTTTATAGATATATCAATATATATAAGCGATTTACCACTAAAATGAAAAAGAACAAAATATCTGCAATGGAATATCCGCAAAAAAATATTCTGATGATAAAATATCCGGTGACAGAAAATACCAAGAACATCAAATAATGAATGTTATTAGTTTTAAAGTGATATCTTGTACTTAATTAACTATTAAAAAATCTGAATTTTACAGTTTCGGCTCCCATACCAAAGCGTAATTCTTTAGTTCGTACGTCTAAACGTGTTCAAAGGAAGTTTAATCTTGTCTTTAAATAATAATAATGAGCGGTTTTCATGACACCACAGTGATGATGATCATAAATGCTCTTTAATCATTTCGACGGCAAAGAAACTCGAACATGAGTAGATATGATCAATGGTTGGCGGATGAAATTTTTCAAACAATGCCATCGCTAATTACACTATTCTCAATTCATGGATTTAAAATCGATAAAACATTGCTATTAGTGTATAGGCTAGCTCCTAGTCAGAAGAAAAGGATTAATGTACGATTTTTGAATGCTGTGGAAGATCTATGTCCCGATTTAAAACTATATAGGCGTATGTTTTTAGTATTGGCTTTTGCGAAAATACTATGAATACACTTGGGTTGGTCTGCTGCGTTCAAAATTGAATTATAGAATTGCTATGCTGATAGAAGGATGCATTCCAACAATAGTGTGGGAAGTTTGCATAACTGTTTTAACAGTAAAATTCATGTTTACCATGCCAGTGTTAATGCTTTATTGACGCTCCAAAAGAGGAACGGAACCTCACCCAAATCTTTATTAACCATATTGAAACTGGGTTAAACATGTCAGCTCGCAAAGTATATGCTAACATTAATAGCGTCTGAAAAATGTCATTGACACTTATGATAGAAATGATGTAAAGAACTATTTAAAGAAAATTGCTGTTATGTTATTATTGTAGATGCTTTTTGTCAATGTTAACAGTTAAAAAATAAAATGTATCTGTAAATATGTATGTTATGCGTATTCCCTACGAATATGTCGTCGCGAGGATATTTTGTCATGGATTTTCCGTCTTTCGATATTATAAGACGGAATCGTAAAAAAAAATTAATTCAACTATTTTCAACAACTAATTATTGAATATCAATGCTCTGCAGTAGTCTTAGTGTAGTTCAAATGGTCCACACGACTGAATTCCTGGTGGGAAGACAGATAAGATTTAGCTATTCTTTCAATTTATTATATTCTTATAAAAATAGCGAGTTTAAGGTTCCGTCACATATTCTCATTATTCCGTCTTATTATTCTTCAGATCATACTCATACCACTGCAAAGCACTGATATTTAATAATCAGTCAATAAAAACAGTTGGATCAATTATTTTTAACGAAAAACATGTCAATAAATTTTAAAATTATGCCGATGTAAAAAATTAAAATATTATTGAAAGTAAGTTTACATTTCACACCAATCACATAATTAAAATATCATCCAGGATTTACATTATATTAGTATCAAACGAAAATTTACTGTTCACAATAAATAATAATGTTAAAAGAACCTAAAACTAAATTGAGCAATGGCAAAATACCAAACATTTTGTTGTCCAAGGACCAATGCATTGATGTAGGAAGTGGCACCAATGTCTATCTTCGAGAAAAACGTTCATTATTTGATAGACTCTATTCATCGAAAATCCCAGAAAAAGTAAAAAGAACCATTCTCAAATTGAAGCTGGATTATATTAAAAATGACGATGAGCGGAGTAGGCGATTTATAACTGTCATGTATAACTATCGAGTACGATCACGGACTGCAATTAAATATTATGAATTACTTCAAAGACAACGTTTTTTCGGTTCATCAACCATGAAACCCAACCCTCGAATTTTCGATGCTCAAATACCACCACAGCAACGTGTACCGTCTTATAAAAATATTACTATTTTGATTCAATGGTGTAAAAACCATCGAAAGATTTATCCACGGGCATATGTGATATTATTCGGCTATTACTCAGGATTACGTGCTGCAGAATTGTGTCGATTTACTAATAAAAATTTAATACAGTTGAAAGAGAGACAGTCATTAGTTACCGTCAAGCGAAAATGGAATGCTTCTTGGACTGTTACATACCATAAGCCATTAGTAGATTTCATAGATGAATTGTGTATAGTTTTCCAGAGAAAAGTGCAGCTATATTATTCAGGTATTATAGAGAAACTATTTGATATATCTCCAAATGTTCTCTCAGCAACTGTACGAAGTTATTACATTCATGCTGTCAATGATTTACCTCCTTCCGGATTTGGAATTCACGTAATGCGTTATATCATTGGTACGAAATTAGCAGAAAATGATAAACTACCTGCCGCACAACGGTTTCTTGGACATAAACAACTTGACACTACAAAGCATTATTTGCGTTATGACTTACATGAATTGAATAAACGATTAACTCAAGTTATTCAAAACAATCGCTTTTACTATCAATTGACAAACATATTAGAATATACTATTGAAAAAAGCACACAGAACTAGGTATAAAAAAGACATTGACAGTTTATTTTTTTGGTGCTGTGATTGAAAGAATTATCTGTAATTTTTGATTAGGATGGTTCAGATATTTCGAATGAATATCGATAAACTCAAATAAAAGAAATTCAGTAGAATAAGTTGATTTTCCTTCAAATGGAACGATGTTTCAAGTAAAACTCGATTAGTTATTGCATTCCTTATTATAATCAATAAAACCGAAAAAAAGATTTCAAACGATATAATTATTTTTATTTAACAGATAAAACAGGTTTTTCATGAATAAAATAATATTTGATTAAAAGCTAATTGAAAAAATGTTATGAGTAGAATGCTGCCACTTTGGTAGACCACACTCTCATCCCCACCACAGAGTGGAGATGAATTTGTGTCATTCGGAGTGGTTTCACGAGGCGTGGAGTTAGCCGCGTAGCGCTGCGTGAGTCCGATTCACGCGGCCTGTTGTAGTAGCTCGTCACGAGAGAAAATAGGACTACAGAGAGCTGCAGATAAGTACGTTTCCATATTTACGGCCGCTATGCGCAGACTATGCATGCTCCAACTTCCTTTCAGCTACAGGCATGGTGCTTGAGCAGTAAATTGTGCAAGTAAGAGAACAACAAAACATAAAGGCATAGAAAAATATAGATGTATCTTTGACTCTACGAGCCATGTGTATCATACAGCAATATTTAACGCCGTTGCTCAGCAACGACACATGATGGGTACCGAAGATATACGTGCTTAAAGCTTATAATTTTCTCGATCAAACGTAACTAAATATAATAAGATACACTATTATTTCCAACTTATATAATTGACATATTTCAATGTATGTGTACATCAGTCCAACATAATCATGATTCATAAATACATGGTAAAAAGTATAAGAATACAGTGCTACGGTATTGGAAGATGTTTTATTACTTAGACTATATACCGGTTGTTTTTGTTTCACCACGTGTAACGACTTGATTGAAGGGTGCTCGTCTAATCGCGTCAAATAAAATTACTATCGGCTAGATGACCAGCATGACGTCTTCCATGTGACTCACCAACTTTAGAATATGAAATGAGCGAACGTAATTAAATATAACACTAAAGCATATGATTTTTGTTATATTTTAATTTCAGTCAATTTCATTTCTTCAAAATATTTCAATGATAAATAATAAGAGGTATTTCAAGAATTAACAAAGAAATAGCTGAATAAGGTTTATTGAACTATTTCTATTAATAATGATATAACACAATATATACATAAAGTAATATATATCTATAAAACAATTTATAATATATATATATATATACATATATATATATGTATAGTGTAACATTCTTTTTCTGCCCCCTAGAGGGTGTACTCCATAACGCACTTTTCTTTAGGTGGACATCCTGATTAGAACCATCCCTGGGAGACTAAACTCAATGCCGCAAAACTTACTAACTCAAATTTCACAGGATATTCTTAAAATCTCAATGTTAAACCTAAACCGCAAACTTATATCTATTTTAATTAAAATGTATCTACAAAAACAGGATCTTCTTGAACAGGGCATGTCCTGTTCCTCAGTTGTGTAGGTTGTAGAGAGCAGTCGTGTCCGGCCAACTAGAAGACGATTAAACATAAAGAAGATAAACCCAAATTAAATCACTAGCCAACAGGATGAGTTGAAGGTTTCCAAACTACAAGAAATGAATTGACAGGTTCAACATATTTTTAATTATCAAATTTATTTAAACAACTTTACTGAACTAGACTTTCTTATCAATTACTGTAACTTACATCATCATTATGAATCTCTGCATCAAATAATCAATTAACGCAATTACAATCCTCGAACTGAACCAATAACCCTCTAACAGGTTACAATTCTAGGGCTCAAATAAATCATACATAACTAACTAAAGAGTATCTTTTCCACAAAATTTTTCTCAACAAATCAGAACTCAAAATCTTAAACTTGAAAACACCATATCACAATTTTTAACAATAACCAAATCTTCAAATCAACTTAACTAAACTACATCATAATCTTCGTTATCAAAATCTACCGTTAACTCAACCTAACGAGTACAAGAGCAAACCAAGCCTTACAGATTCACTTTTATGCTATAAAATATTTTTAACTAACTACAAATTTACTGGTTAACTTATTTTAACTCAATCCTTAATAACTTACAACTTCGGCAGAGAGCTTCCGATAGTCTAGTTTTTGTCGAACCTAGTTCTGGGTGCTCTAAACTTCCTTCTACTTCCATGGAAGATTCTCTCTGGTCCTCATTCTTCTATCTGGAATCCTCTCAGCTCTTCCTTTACATGATGGTCACACTCGACTGTTCATAAGCTCAGCTTACAATCGACTCTCCATGGGCACAGCTTACCATCGAGTCCTCCCAAAAGCACTTCTTTCAAAATTCTTATTCTCCAATGTTTTCATTTTCTTCTCCCTCTACTCAAAACATCTTCACTTTGTCGAATCACATTTTCTATTGGTGGCTCACGTGACTTCTCCCAAATTTTCATATGAAGGGGTCACTTAAAACTAATGTGCACCAAAACTTAATCCTAACTCCAAAACATAATATCTAATTCAAAACTTGAATGACTACGACCTCTTCCATACTTCTATCTTCTTCTTGGAGTCCCATTTTACTGGCAACCCTTAGAGCTAGGACGTTTCCCAGCATGGGAAAACTGCAGGGTGACATGTTGCTTTTGGTCCTCTGCTCCGCTACAGCCTCCCAACTCTTCCCCCAACAGTCCATGTGGTTGACAGATTTACTTGTTTATCTCGACTCTGCTTTACTTGGGTTATTACGACTTTAATCACTAATATTGATAACTACTGAATCCCTTGACCTTGGTTTGCTTTAATTAGTAAATCAACAATACTAATTAATTACAATTAATGACTTATAACTACCTATCATATGTCACCAAACGCATATAAAGATCATAATTTTGCAGAAATCAAACAGAAATAGACCTAAAGTACTATATGAATTACAATGAAAAGAATGAAATAATTAAATATTTTGGCGCAGGGAAAATGACTATTATAACTAAGTAAAGTGCAGCTCACGAAGATCAACATGAATTCAATTATATGTATGATTTGCTTACAAGGAAACCTCGCGAGGTGGTCACCGCTGATTTAGCTGGGGCTTCTATATAATAATCAAGTATTATTAATTATTATTAATTATAATAATATGCTACGTCGGAAATGATAAACTACGTATTTTTTTTTCTTCGGTAAATCGTTTTGAAGGGGTGAAAATCACCCCCGAAGTTGACACCCTATAGAAGTAATTTTTAATTTCCACATATTTCTAATCGAAATTTTCCAAAACAACCTTACACGTTAAAAACAACATAAAATATCAGTTCTCTGCGGTAGTCTGAGTGCGACCTAAAAGGTTCACACGACCAACTTCCTGGTGGAAATTCAGAATTTATCATGAGATTGGAATTCTGTTCCTCTACAACAGTTCAATTGTTAGAGAAAAGAAATCGTTGTTAATTATGATACATAGTTAGGACATTCGCTTCAGTAACAGCAAAAAATTTGTGTAAGATAAAATTCAATACTTTGCACGCAACCCGTTATCAACAATCATTATTGACTATTACATTGTGTCTTGATGATATTGAAATGATAATTGAAAATGATATTTTTACCATTCCAACACAAGTTTAATGTTTTGTCACTGCTGATTCCTTTTTTTTTTTAATTTTTTGTTCTATAGAATATCTTTATCATATCTTTATACAATTATTACAAACATTTAATATTCATATTTTTCAAAAGATCTCGTGATTTTGTCTAAAAAATGATATAATTTATAAATTGCAAAATTCAGGTCGTTTTCCATTTTTGCTAGCTTTTTAGTTCTGCCAAAAAAACGGCTAAACCGATTTTGTTGAAAACTTAATCAGTTCTAAGTTGCGCAATTACGTGTCGAAAGCAGTTGGTTCCACGTCGATATCATCTTTCGTTATCGTTACCGATCTTCCAGTGGGAAGATCATTTTAAGCGGTATCGAGATAAAAAATGTACATCAAATTTACAAACAGGCCCGTCCGCTAGAGATGTGTTGGATGTACAACCAGACATCTGTTGTAGTTCCCGAATTGCTGATTTATTGTAGAGAGATAAAGTGTATCAAAGGCATTTTCCATCTCAAGTTGTTGAATCATCTTCGAACATACTCTGCTTTTCAACAGAATTATTTCGCTCATTGACAATTCAATAATGATTTTGTTCAAAATAAATTTGGTCATGCTTGTGACATTTGTGACAGACTTTGATGAATTGCCAATGATTCTGAGTGGAGATTTTAACATAAACTTTGCAAACAATGGAAATCAACTATTAATTGAATTTTAAATTATGAATTTGGTTTAACTATGTCAAATGATCCCAAGTTGATCTACCAAATCTTCAACTTCCCTGATATCATAAAGATGCTCCTCCCCGAAAACAAGTTCTTCCTGACAGACAGGAAAAAACTTAAACAAATTTCGGAAGAATATTAGTCAAAAAAAAATTTATTAATAAGTATAGGGGTGGTCTGAATAATTCAATGATTTTGCTCCTTGAAATAAGTGCCCCTCTAATTATTAAGTATTAACTACACATTTTTTCTGAGCTTTCAATGTCTCTTTAAGGATAAGAGCAATTTTCTAAAAATATTGAAGTTGGCAAAATATTTGAAATTATAATCATGCAAAAATCATAAATAAGGGCATGAGTGATCTAGACAGTTAAAAGATTTTTTTCATCGTTACAATGAACATAATCACGAAGAAGTGACTATACGGATCGCTTGAACTATAATTGTCTTTTGTATGATGATGGCATTTTTTTCAAATGTGAGACTTGGCGAAATGAAATGAATATTAATCAAAAAATAATACTTATATAATTTTTTTTATTCTTACAATGAACTCTCTTATCATGGAAAAAGGACTTGGCCGTCGGCCTGAGCTTTAAATGATTCTTATATGATTATTGCTTTTTTTCAAAAATAAGGGGATTTAGATACTTCCGTAAGTGTTTCTATCGTTATAATAAATGTTCTCGTACTGTCTACTGGACTACATAATCCGAATATATTATAATTGACTTTCGTTAGGGAATTTTTTCGAAATTTATTGTTTAACGCATGTTATGCTTATTAATTGAGATCAGTAGTGATAATATTGATTAATTTTATGGATTACATTTTTTGTTTTCCGGATTTCATATCACTTGCAGTGCCATCTCTTCATTCTTTTGAAAGAGTGCTCCCTACTATCATCTAACTTGAATTAGTTTTTATTTGGAAGATTAGTCAAACCATCCAATATATAGTTACTCAATAATGCCGCAGATAAATAAATATGTTGAAGCGTCAAGCAATACGCAAAACAAAAAAAAACAGCAAGCGTCGTGGGCCTTGTTCACCTCACGATAACAAAACGTGGCGTTACTGACAAGGAAACCTCGCGAGGTGGTCACCGTCGATTCAGCTAAAGCTAAATTGTTATCGCGGATTTTCGTCTCCGACCAGAGATTATTCAAGACGGCCCGCATATTTAACGCCGCAAAAATTTGATGACGTCAGTTTAATCAATAACGTCCGCCAGGACAACCCATAGTTAAACTAACAAGCAAACCTTGCAAGATGGTCACCGTCAATTTAGCTGAGGCTTCTATATAATAATCAAGTATTATTAATTGTGTGTACAAATTACAATTTCCTACCACTATCTTCTTTCTTAGTTTGAAAATTTCGTGTTTAGAGATTATAGTATCACTCTGTAAAAAGAAAATTTTATAGCTATACTATAGATACGTACAATGAATTGTATAGTAAATTTCTATGAAGATCAAGTTCTTCAAAATGAGTATAGCACCGATGAATATAATAGATTACTTTTTAAAAGGGATAGCGATATTAAAAGCTTGTGTGGTTTATTCTTTGAAAGTATCCATTACTTTTATCACTACCAGGCTAAAAAAAAGTCAAATAACAATAGTTGCAAGATAAATAGGTCAATGACAAAATTAGATTCAATGAGATTCATGCATCAGATAACTTTAATATTGTACTGCGGGAACTGCAAAGAAATGGTGACAGATTATTATAATGTGCGTAAATTAAATCATTTTACTCATTATTTGAGATATACTGATGGAGAGAATTTGAACAATTTGAAAAAAGTCTTTGAAAACTTGCGATCATCATACGAAATTAATGGCTTAAATAGAGGTAGCCTAATTGTTTTCGATCTTGATAATACTCTCATTGATGATTCTCTAAGACCATTATCAAAAAATTTAGAGTTTCAGTTGAGTGTCTTCAGAAAATTATTTGATTATGTTGTACTATGGTCTCATGGAACATCTACGCATGTCTCTAATGCGTTGAATTCACTAAAATTACCTTATCGATTCTTCCACGTTATTATCACTCGAGCCGATTGGCAATCTTGTGGTGGAAACAAAGGATTAGGTTTTGTATTAAGCATATTATACAACAAGTATAAAGTTCGTGAAATAACATTTTCATGTATTGTGGATGATACGAAAGCAAATTTTACGAATGATTATATGGTATTTATTCATATTCCCTCAAATCATCCTCACAACGATTTGACAAAATTCTACCAGCTTATATTAGAAAGATTACGGAATATCAAGTTTCGATATGAAATCAGCAGTACAACTTGGCTTCCAATGCGAATAGATTTGTCAACGGTGAACGTTGATTTGCAACGACATCCACGAACAATTCGAACGATGGACAATTAATGCAATATGTTCGTGTTACCAAAGTATTATACTATACATGCTTCTTTTTGTAGAGGAAAAAAATTATTAATTATAATTTGATCAAGAATACTATTGTATATCGGTGAATTTTCGTCAAGGTTGATGCAAAAAAATATTTTGGTAGAATACATTATATTCACATGTAATACTGATAATTTCTATATGAAAAGGATGGAGATATTCATTTAATTCGTATCTATCATATAGAAACATCACTGTTATTGATGAATTACAAATTCTCATTCGGTTGGATGGAACAAGGTAGAAGGAAGTTCTGGTAAAAACAAGCACTGGTGTTCAATCGAAATAATCAAAGATATATGTCAACTACATAGTTGTTGACTACAGTAGCAATTTTCATGGTTACAAAACCGGTAACTTTTTCTTTCATTAAGTATTAATTAGTTATAATGTCGATTAGGCATGTGTCACTATGTTAACTATGCTCTATGTATTGTAGAAAGTTTTTGTATGCTCCTCTTTTATTCCTGAGATATTTCACTTTCCTCCCGAGCTTGTAAAGTATATTGCATACAGCATAAGCCGCGTTTGATACAAAATCTAATCCTTTCTTACGCACACACTTGAGAAGAAAAGGTTTATGATCGTTCAGTAGTGATCTTAATCGACGCTATAATCGGTTATGCTAAAAAAATGGAGACAGTTGTAAAACCCATAGAACAGTTAGTCTTTCGTCGAGCGTATGAAGATGTTTCTTGCAACATTTTCGATCTTTAATCTTTGACTGTCTTATATTCTTTCCGAAAAATCAACTATTATACCAATAATCTCACAAAATCTTTCTAAAAGTGGTTTTTCGGCATATTTGGAGTATTACTAATTCTGTGGCCAATTGTATAAGTAGTTTTTTTGCAGGAAATTTTGGATTCTCCAATTGTTTCGTTACAGTTTTCTTGTTAAGTCAACTGTTCTCCAAATATTTCGAAAAATCATTCTTAAAAACGGTTAATTGTGTGACGAATTGTTAAAATATTTTTTCTTTTCAACATTCTCTACTCTATAATTTACCACGTATACGGTCTTTTTCGTAACAAATTTCTTTCTATGCATTGTGCACTGCTTCAGTTTTCGCGAAAAGTTATTCATACTACTATATAAATTTATGGTGTCTGTCCACGCTAATCTCCGCAACGGCATATTCGATTCTGACAAAATTTTGCAAATATGCAGAGGACGTTCTCAGGAAGGTTAAAGGCTACTTTTCGTTTATGTAAATGGTTAATAACAATTACATTTGTTAAAACCAATTGAAAACGAGTTCTTTGCAACATATTTGAGTCCTTCCAACGCGTGATTATTTCTCTTGCTAAAAACAACTTACAAACCATGCAAAATGTAGAAAAGCATATTCCTTCTGTACATAACAATGGAATTTATTTTAAAAAAAAAAACAGAAATTGAGTATTATGATAGACCCCAAATAATTTCTTTAATTATTAAAACTCACATATAGATCATCTATTCATGAACTCGATTACATAGCAATTGGTCTTTTGTTAAAATTAAAAATTTCTTCGTATTGATTTCCAATCAAAAATAATAAATTGTATAAAATACGTTATCTAAGGAGATAACCCAAGGGTAATACCCATAAGAACTTGAGAAGGGGTAATACTCTGCCAATTATGTTGAGAGCTAGTGAAAGGGGAAGTGGCTAGTAGGGGAAAGTTTCTTAAAGATTAAGTTAGAGGGACAGGCCTAATGAAAAAAAGTTCCTTCAAGGAGAAGGAGCATGCGTAAAGAGTGAGAAGCAAAAATAATAAAGAAAAATCTAAAACCTTGAATTTTTGTTTCATGGGACCAATTTCAATCGAAAGAGTATAAAAATTTACAAGATACGTGTCTTCGCAATTTTTAAATAACATTAACTACAGTATACAAAACAGCAACTTAAGAATTGCTAATTGTTTATGGTCACAATAATCACGGAATAATGTACATCGAAATTGGAGACTTAATTATTTAAAGAACCACTTCAGACAAATATTATTAAATTGAATAAATAGGTATATTGATATCGGAATGATGAAGGAGCATTTATTTACATCGGTATCTTCATAATTCTAATAGTTAGAAATGTCGTTAAGAGTAACCAAATACAAAAAGGTAGTTAACTTTCATTTTTTACTATTGATTGTAACACAGTTTTTAGATAAAAGAAAATTATGTTTCTATTACAAGGACACAATTTTATACACATAAAATAATGACTATTAATCGAAGTTTGAATGAATACAAGAGTATGAAATATTCATTTAATACAGTATGAAAAATGAAGACGAAGAAAAAAGGTTTGAATTTGTTAAATAATTAAAATATGTCACATTTGTTTGAAATGCTAGCATTGTTTATTATTGTATCGACGGAAAATACATATAAAAAATCGAAAATTTAATTACTATTATTCTGTGGTAAAATAGGGTAAAAAAAATGTCAAAGAGTGTGGCGGGGGTGTTAAACGAGCAATCAAAGATTGTGTATAATTAGTTTTCTCGAGTAGAACTGACAAAAATTTTTAGATTGAAAAAAATGTTCGTGATATTGTAATATTGATTATTCAATGCACTTTCAACAACCCCCCCCCTCCGCCACTCCCGTCGATCTTATGTTTACTCCACTTTCCAATTGAAAAATGATTTTTTTTTTGTATTACGATGATAATTTTGATAAAAAATCGTTACCAAAAAAAAAAAACATATTTTTAGTAATATTGAAGAAACTTGAAATCCTTTCGCAGAAATTGTATTTTCTTTTAAATAAGAATTCCGCAATGTACAGTAGCCAATAAATTTCACGCCGACCGTATTTTGGAGTAGCTTTACGTAAATTCCTCTACAGTCGCTCGATTTTTTGAGTTTGAACTCTTGTGTCGGGATTAACAAAATTTACGGAATAATTACCTTTGAGATGTTCAAAGCTTTCTTTGCATAAGTAATCATATGCTCGCCAACTATCCGATACGATTGTTGTTCTGATCCTGACTAGTCGTTTAATGACTTTCAACAAAGTGGCAGCATTTCGCGGTGCTACAGGTTCTATAAAATCGTTTTTAATAGTACGATCAATGCCACCAAAAATCCATTGACCAGTTATTAAATGACCTTTATCATGTTTTCTTTTTCCAAATTTAGCTTCGTCGATCTCAATTGTGTAACCAACTCCACTAATTTGCTGATCTGCATGTTTGTTCTAATAAAAACAAACCTACATAAGAATATAACAAATTAAGTATTTTTTACAATTAACGATTACAATATTGAAATAAACGAAAAAAAATTCACCTTTCGACAAAAAGATGCAAAATCAATACAAGTTTCACTACTGATATCTAAATTTGCCCTTACTACAATGTGTAAGGAGGTGGAAACCATAAAAAATATCCGATGAATAATTTTTAAGTATCATAAACACCTTCAAACCATGTACTTTTGAAAGCCGGAATACGATATGTACATCTTATCCTCTGGCGTCTTCTTTTAGCAATAGTTTTATAAATATTGGACGGACATTGTAACATTAATGTATCTCGATTTATTGTTATATTTGTACCGCAATTTCGACAGATTACATGTTCACGAATAACTTGTTTTTAAAGTAAAAAAATTGAATAATTATATTGATCCTCGATCACTAGCTATCAACACAAAATCACTCATCTTCATAATAAAGGTTTTAATTAAACTGACCTATTTTAACTCAACTTATAATCTCGACTCAATCACGAAAAAAAAAATCAAGAAGATTTATTGTCGATATATTGTGGAATAAGACCGAATAATAACTTCGGAAAATTAATAAATAAAGAAAAATGTTCATTAAAGATTGATAGCAATTAATTAGAAAGAAAGGATCCGTGTGGTCAACTCAAGTCTCAGTCAAAAACTGGAGATAAACAAACTTTCCCCTCGTTACTATAAACAATCTAATCATCAAGCAATCGTCGTTAACTAACAAATTGTCGTTAGTCTAACAGTCATTCAATGGCGATATACAAATATTTTACAACATTTATTCTTCAATAATGCATATAAATATTACCTTACAATGTATTAGTAAAAAAAAAATCGAAAAAAAGGATGAAAACGTTAAGTAAACATACAAGAAATTGTATGTATACAGAACCAAATTTCTTGAATGTCTACAAAATCTTTATCTAAACAGCGTACATGATTATATTACTCATTTTTCCAAGAATTGTTCTCTCTAATTTTATGTTTTTTTAACATGAATTACGCAGAAGTTTCATTATGTGTGAAATCTAAAAGTATTCATATCATAAGTAATCAACTAAAAAGAGTTATATTTAAAACTTCGAAGTTGTATAGAATGAGACTGACGGCTAATTTCACGGTATATATATTACGAATACCTCCTTCTAACACCACCTACAACCCCGAGTCGATAGGAGTTGGAAGATGATCTTTAGATAATTACCGGCTGCATGCGTTCCCGCACGCCTCCTTTTCTCTCTTAGAGGCGGTATCAATTTGACTGTCTCGGCCGCCAGTAGTTGTCTCTTTTTAGGTGTAGCCTGTTTCTCCTCTACAGCCTTCGGTGCCTCGTAAAAACAAGCTCTGCCTCGGCCGCAGTGAGGACTCATTCCTAACCATTTTAAGAGCTTCAACGACTCGTCGTCCACACCAATGACTAAGCTAGTAAGTATTTTTGAGATCACTGCCGGATCCACCGGTGGCCCGGCAAACGTCGCGGTAACCCTAAAGAGGGAATTTTCTCACTCTCGAGAACCTTGAGGCTTACTGCTTTCAATACCTTCGTAGAGGGGACTGTCTCTTTGAACCAAGTTGCTGCTTGTTCATCAGGACAGTTAATCCACAAGAGCCCTCTGCTTTCAAATCTCAGAACAGTGCTATTTTTGATGGCATCGTCCAATGCCCGAAGAAGTTCTGCCAGCACAAGTTCCCCTTGCTGATTGTTGATGGTCACAGAAAGGTAGAGGTTCGGTGTGATGGCCACCCTGTAGCCGCTTCAGCGAAGCTGCTAGGCTCA